GGCGTGATTGGCCCACAGAGGTCACCATGGACCCGCTCAAGGGTCTCTACCACGCATGTAAGGTCCTAATGGCTAGAGGGAGGTGAATAGCCTATTAAAAATTTCTACAACAATACTTAGCAAACCGGTTAGACAATTATGAGGCAAAGCAAATGTTGCGCTAGCCTACTAAAATTACAAGCCACCTACCACAATTCTAGTTTATATGGTTTCTATCCACACAATAGCTATATCACTACACTAAGTTAGTGCGCTCTCAAATGCTAATTAAAGAGCCACACTAACCAAGCTAACAAGCTCTCACAACTAGCTACACTAAAGAGCTTCACAACTAGTTTGCGGTATTGTAAAGAGAGAGAGCAAGATAGTTATACTGTCGTGTTGAGGAGTGAACCAATCAATCACAAGGATGAATACCAAAGAAGACCAATCACCTCGGAATCAAATGATGACACAATGATTTTTTACCGAGGTTCACTTGCTTGCCGACAAGCTAGTCCTTGTTGTGGCGATTCACTTACTTAGAGGTTCACGCGCTAATTGGCATCACACGCCAAACCCTCAATAGGGTGCCGCACAACCAATACAAGATAAGGATCACACAAGCCACGAGCAATCCACTAGAGTACCTTTTGGCTCTCCACCGGGGAAAGGTCAAGAACCCCTCACAATCACCACGATCAGAGCCAAACACAATCACCAACCTCCGCTCAATGATCCTCGTTGCTCCAAGTCGTCTAGGTGGCGGCAACCACCAAGAGTAACAAGCAAATCCCGCAGCAAAACACAAACACCAAGCGTCTCTAGATGCAAACACTCAAGCAATGCATTTGGATTCACTCACAATCTCACAAAGATGATGAATCAATGATAAAGATAAGTGAGAGGGCTTTGACTAAGCTCACAAGGTTGCTATATCAATGCAAATGACCAAGAAAGTGAGCTTGAGCTGACCAAGAGGCTTAAATAGAAGCCCCCACGAAATAGAGCCGTTGGATCCCCAGCGTCCGGTCACGTGATGCATGCCACGTGGCACCTACTTCAAACGCTGATCGCCCGATCTCAACGGTCTTAAGTACATTTAAGTTGTGACCAAACGTGCTGCTTCGAAGTGACTGAACGCAGGACCCCAGCGTCCGGTCGTTTCCAGTAAGGTTCCAGTCGCGACTGGACGCGTCCGGTCATGCCCGACCGGACTCACCCAGCATCCGGTCACTCACTGTCTCCTCTATGTGCTGCCACGTCAGCGGGACCGGACGCACCCCACCAGCATCCGGTCATGAAGTGACCCAACGTCTGGTCAAAGACCGACGCCAGCGTCTTCACTGCTTTCACTGACTGAACGCTTCGGTCCAATTGAGACCAGCGTTTGGTGCACTCTGTGAAATCCTATCTTTTCTATATAGGGCGCCGGTGGCACCGTTGGACTATCCGCACTCTACGGACGGACACTCCGCCGGTGAACGTTCTTACCATTGCTCAAATGTGCCAACCACCAAGTGTATCACCTTGTGCACATGTGTTAGCATATTTTCACAAACATTTTCAAGGGTGTTAGCATTCCACTAGATCCTAAATGCATATGCAATGAGTTAGAGCATCTAGTGGCACTTTGATAACCGTATTTTATTACGAGTTTCACTCCTCTTAATAGTACGGCTATCGAACCTAAATGTGATCACACTTGCTAAGTGTCTTGATCACTGAAACAAAATGGCTCCTACCACTTATATCTTTGCCTTGAGCCTTTTATTTTTCTCTTTCTTCTTTTCAAGTCCAAGCACTTGATCATCACCATGGCATCACCATCATCATGTCATGATCTTCATTTGCTTCACCACTTAGAATGTGCTACCTATCTCATGATCACTTTGATAAACTAGGTTAGCACTTAGGATTTCATCAATTCACTAAAACCAAACTAGAGCTTTCAGCGTGGTACTTCGCCGTCTTCGGAAACGGCAGTCTTCTTTGCTTCTCGGCCAGACAGCTGTCATACAGCTCGCCTGGGTGCTTGATGTGAGGCAGCCCAGTCACCATCTTCTCCAGCTGTTGATGCGGGACCCACGGGATATCCCGCAAGGAAGAGAGAAGATCTAGTCTAACTAGGTTTCTTTCCATGTAATCTTAGTAGTAGTAGTATTCTGTAATCCTACTAGAAACTCTCATTGTAAACCGACTAGGACTCTGACCTCCTGACTATATAAAGGAGGGCAGGGTTCCTAGCGAGGGGACTAAACTTTATAACTGGACAATCAATCCAACGCAAAGGCTAACGCCGACTGGACGTAGGGCTATTACTCGATCACAATCGAGGGCCTGAACCAGGATAAATCGACTGTCTCTTGCGTTCACCGTCGAGTTCTGCATACGCTGAAGCCCAAACAAACTGCCCTGGGTACCCCCGTGGCAGGCTATCGGTGGTGAAACATCGACACCAGCAGACCAAGAGCGTCGAAGCTGAGATGTCCATACCGGGCATGCCACAGCCATGGCTCCTCCGTGCACCGTGCAGCCAAGCAGATGGGCTGCTCCACCTTGAGGTCGAGCAGGTACAACCGGTTCCAGAGCCTCTTCACCTTGGCAAGAAGCCGCTGCTCCCGGTCTCTGATCCTGAGGACGCCATCCTTGATCAATACCTCGCTGCCGCGCTCATCCAGCTGGCCAATGCTGATGATGCTTGAACGCAGCTGCGGGATATAATATACATCCGTTAGCGCGTGGTGCTCGCTATTCTGGCACCTGAAGATGATGGTGACGCGCCCTCGGATCGCCACCCTTGAGTCGTCGCCGAACTTCACCGTGCCGGTCATGTCGTTGTCGAGCTCGGAGAAGGCTGCCTTAGAGCCCGTCATGTGATTGCTGGCGTCGGAGTCCAGGTACCACCACTGCTCCTGCTCGCCGTCCATACGTCCGAGGTGGACTTGGGCGCGCGGTTCGTCGAGGTTGACAGCTTTCAGAGCCTTCCCACGCCCTTCTACCGCCATCACCTCTTCCTGCTCCTTGGACTCAATATCGTGTAGTGCACAGAACGTCGTCATCAGGAGAGTGGCCTCATCATCATTATCAGCCTACACCAGATGAGCCTTAGCCTTCTTCTGCTTGCGATTTGGGCACTCCTTTACCCAATGGACCGTCTTCCCACAGCGTCGGCAGGCGTTGGGGTCGACCTTCTTCTTCTTCTCCGAAGAAGCCTTGCTGCGGCGCTTGCCATTGCCACCGCGGCTGGAGGATGCTTCCCCGGACTTCTTCATTCGGGCAGCCCACTCCTCCTCTGTCAGCAGCAGCTTGCCGCTGTCCATCGTTGTTGTGGCCTGCTCCAGGCGCTCGTCCACCGCCCGCAACCGACCAGTCACATCCCCAATGGTGAGGGTGGATAGGTCTAGCATCGTCTTTATGAAGAGAGCGATCTGGATATGCTTCGCCGGCATGGAGTGGAGGTACTTGGAGACCGCCTCTTCTTCGTCGATGGTGATGTCGTGGCTCCTCAGCTTGCTGATGAGCATCTGCAGGCGGAGGGAGAAGTCCTCCATCGATTCACCATCCTTGAACTTGAGGTTGGCGTACTCCTACTTCAGCAGCTAGGCCGTCGCCTTCTTTGCGTGGTTGGAACCGACACGCATCACCACAATGGCATTCCACGCCTCCTTAGCAGAGCTTTTTGCCCCCAACGGCTCCCTATATTCCGCTGACACAGCAGCGAGGATAGCCTCCAACGCTGACATGTCGTCTTCTTCGTTGTCGGTGCCCTTATCAACAGCATTCCAGAGCCATCGGGCTCTGAGCTTGACCTTTATGGTCACTGCCCACTCGCTATAGTTGGTGCGAGTCAGCGTCGACCAACTAGTGTTGCTGACCTCCCGCACCGCGCACAACAACCTTCTGTCGTGGCTGGGCAGCCACAGCAGCGCCGTTGCTGTCGTCGCCGCCCATCTCCAAACCGTCCGTCATCGCCAGCGGTTAGTCCGGCGATGGCACTTGTACGGCTCTGATACCACTTGTTGGCCCTTAGATCTCCGGCACGGGTGAGCCGACCACTCACCAGCGTTGCTGACCACACACTATTGCTAAAGATAGAAGAAGGGAGAAATAACAGAGCATGCACACACACAGCACATGCACCAGCGTTGGCCGGATCTCTATAGATGATACGGCAAAACTGAACTCGCTCTCTTTATTGAGTTGTAGTGGAAAACTATATATATAATTCTACTCATCTAATTCTAGTATATAGACATGTCAGGCTGCCATGCTGATACAGTGACTAGATGTGACCGCATGCTGACTTTGGCGTCTGCCCTTGCTGTGACTACGGTGCGGCAGGGGAGCCTTTCGACGTCTGTTCTGCAGCGGCTACAGTGCAACAACAGGGAACTCTTTCGTGTCTGCCCCCTGCCATGCGTTCACATAGGAGAGCAGCCTGTTACTCAACACAAATCAGGGAGTGCGGTGACCTGAAGAAACTGATAGGTACGTTAGCACGTTATAGGTACTTACATATATACAACATGGAACTTCCGCAAAAGACATACGTAATATTTACGGCACATTGGCGAGTTCAAATCCTTCAGGTTCACTGTTTCATCAGATATGGAAAATATTGAACAGATTGGGCAATCTTCAAAGAGCCGATCGATCCCCCGTTGTCCGTTGACAATCCTTCCATCAGTTTCACCTTGTCACTTTCACAATCTATACAGGTACATTTGTCCCCTCCCATACAGGTACATTTAATCACATGATTGAGCTTTGAGCATATACCAATGCCATCCCAGATGGTATTATATATACACGTAGTTGTCTCCATCCGGCATGTGTACTTCAAAAATTTTCATCTTACTCAAACAGCCACTTGGTTGGTTGTCTTGTTGATCCCAATCCTTGGTCAACGCCTTACCTGCTTGTCTCCTTTCCATAAAGGCCAAGTTGTAGCACGACATTTTCTGCCTCTGAACAATTTCACACCTCCTCCTTCTCGTCCTACTCCTCTCGGAGGCGCCATGAGAGCGTCGACGATGACCGGGGCAGTGCTCATCGCCGCCGCCGTGCTGCTCCTTGTCGCCGTCCGGGATGGACATTGCGCGCAACTGTGCACGGACTCAAGTAGAGCACACTTCTTGGAATTTACATTTGTAGTCAGTCTCTCCTAATTGCTGTCTTCATCTTCTGCTGTAAGTTGCAACTGATGTGTATGTGTGTGTGTGATCATGGTGATGACCAGCGTTCCCGAGGACGATCAACGCATCCCTCTCCTTCTGCGGCTACAACGGCACCTCCTGCTGCAACGCCACGGACGACGCCGCCGTCCAGAAGCAGTTCGCTGCCATGAACATCTCCGGCACGCCGTGCGGCGACATCGTCAAGAACATCCTCTGCGCGGTACGGTCGATTTGCTGTCTGTGTTTCCATGGTTTCTTTTGGGGTGCTCTGCCGACTGCCGCTGATCGGTCCTCGCCGTCCCTGCGCTGCGCACGCAGAGATGCAACCCGTACGCCGGCGAGCTGTACACCGTGACGACGACCCCGCGGACGGTGCCGCTGCTGTGCACCACCACCAGCGTGTCGAGCCGCCTGAGCAGCACCAAGCCCGCGGCGGCGACGACGACGGACTACTGCACGGAGGTGTGGGACACCTGCAAGGACGTGCGCATCCCGGGGTCGCCGTTCCAGGCGCCCAAGGGCACGGCGCCGGCGCCGGCGCCGCGGCTGACCGACCTGTGGCAGTCCTCGAGCGAGTTCTGCGGCTCGCTGGGCGGCGGCGGCAAGTCTCCGTCGCCGTGCCTCTACGGCGGTGGCGCGGCGTTCAACTCCTCCCGCCCGGCGCTGCCGCTCAACGGCATGTGCCTGGAGCGCGTGGGCAACGGGTCATACCTCAACATGGCGGCGCACCCGGACGGGTCCGGCCGCATGTTCCTGAGCAACCAGGCGGGGAAGGTGTTCCTCGCCACCGTGCCGCCGCAGGGCTCCGGGAAGACGCTGCAGCTGGACTCGGCGAACCCGTTCCTCGACATCACCGACGAGGTGCACCTCGACAACGAGTTCGGGCTCATGGGCCTCGCCTTCCACCCGGACTTCGCCGCCAACGGCCGCTTCTTCGTCTCCTACAACTGCGACAAGACGCAGTCGGCCACCTGCGCCGGCCGCTGCGCCTGCAACTCCGACGTCGGCTGCGACCCGTCCAAGCTCGGCGCCAACAAAGGCAAGCAGCCGTGCCAGTACCAGAGCGTCGTCGCCGAGTACAGCGCCAACTCCACCTCCGGCACGCCGGCGACGGTATGTATCTGTCCTCGGCTGACCGTCTCTTGTCCACTGACTAATTAAAATTTAAACCATCGCCGCCGTTTAATCTGCTCTCGGCGACGTGACTCGCTCAGGCGACCTCGGCGAACCCGGCGGAGGTGAGGAGGATCTTGACGCTGGGGCTGCCGTTCACGACGCACCACGGCGGGCAGATCCTCTTCAGCCCGGCCGACGGCTACATGTACTTCGCCATGGGCGACGGCGGCAGCGTCGGCGACCCCTGGAACTTCGCGCAGAACAAGAAGACGCTGCTCGGCAAGATCCTCCGGATCGACGTCAACACCATGCCAAGTAAACCCACTCGATTTACTACTAGTTTATTACTACCGCATCAAGAATTCGATTCGCAGTAACAAATCAAAGTAGACCGAACAAGTAGTAAAGACATCAGATTTACGATAAAAATAAACATGGTCCAAACGAGTGATGCAGTACTTTGAAAGTAAAAAATCAAAGTTTGGCAGTAGCAAATAAAGGTTTAGGCCAAGGACTGACCAATCCTAAGTAGATCATGCATAAGTCCCGAAGAATCTATACGAAATAAACTATCCATCATGATCAGAGCATTGTCCAATGCCGTGATGTGGTGGCAAGCTCTGAATCTGACTTGATCCTGACAAGAGAGGCGTACTATCTGTATCTGCAGGTGGCAACACCACGGCTGGGTGGGGAAACTACGGCATCCCCCAGGATAACCCCGCCTCCACTGATCCTAGCTTCGCGCCGGAGGTCTTCGCTCTCGGCTTCAAGAACCCCTGGCGGTGCAGCTTCGACTCCGGCAAGCCGTCCTACATGTACTGCGCCGATGTCGGCCAGGTAACAAGGAAGATTTCCGCTCATTTGCATTGACTGAACACAATTCACCATCTGATCACGGCCATCTGTGTGGATTTGCAGGCGGCGTACGAGGAGGTGGACCTGGTGATGAAGGGCGGCAACTACGGGTGGCGCGTGTTCGAGGGCCCTCTGCCGTTCAATCCGCCGTCCACTCCGGGCGGCAACACCTCCGCCGATTCCATCAACGCCATCGCCCCCGTGATGGGCTACGCCCACAGCTCCGTCAACAAGAACGTCGGCTCCGCCTCCATCACCGGCGGCTACGTCTACCGCTCCATGACAGACCCCTGCCTCAACGGCAGGTACCTGTACTCCGACCTGTACGCCAAGTCGATGTGGGCCGGGGTCGAGTCGCCGGAGGGCAGCGGCGTGTACAATGTGTCGGCGCTGACGTTCGGCTGCTCCAAGAGCTCGCCCATCCCGTGCGACTTCGCCGCGGGCAGCTCGCTGCCATCGCTGGGCTACATCTTCTCCTTCGGCGAGGACAACGCCAAGGACGTCTACCTGCTCACCAGCAAGGGCGTGTACCGGGTGGTCGACCCCGCCGAGTGCAACTACGCGTGCCCCGTCAAGAGCTCTGCCCCGGGCGCGGGCTCGCCGCCGCCTGGCGCTGCCCCGAGCTCCGCGTTCAGGGCGCGCGCGCCGGCGTTGGCGACGACGCTGCTGACGGTTACGGGACTGCTGCTCGGCTTCCTCAGCTTCAGCTTTTGAGTGTGTTCTGGTTTTGAGGGTTGAGAGCGATTTGTCAATTTTCAGATGGTCGTGCTGATATGTGCATGTATCTATCGTAAAAATGTGCAGCAATTAGCATTTGATTTTGTTCTGGTAATTCTTTGCCAATCTTTGTTTCAATTCGAGCGGGAAACGTTGGTTAACAGTTTGAGTAAATTCCACAAAACTACAACTATTTGAGTAGAAATACGACACAAACCTACAAGGCTACAACCATTTTGATACCCATTATTGTAAAAATGTTACTACTTTCTCTTCTTTTTATTTTACAGGAACACTACACTTCTCATCAAGCATCTACCATGAGGCTTCTTTGTCAGTAATGAGTAGCAATACGAACCATATCAGGGAACAAATTCGTAAAAACTCTCTGCAACCCTCAACTTCAGTATTCTATTCCCCCGTACTTGTTAATCCCATCAATTTGGGCAATAAAATGAGACCTTTCCTAGCCACACATCTCTATATTGATCTCTTCCAACATGTACACAAACATGAAAATTAGTGAAACAAGGAGCAAATAGTTTTATGTAATGTACAGAAATTCTTCCAACAAATATGAAGCCCAATTCACCAAACATTTCACATAAATTTGCCATGCTTAATAGAACACCTAAATTATATGTATTGCATAATTTTGTGACTAACCAATATGCACAGAGGACAACTCTGAAATTTATAAACCATACAGCAAATTAGCAATCTTCAGGCCAGCCATTCTCAGTGTAATGGATATGTCCATATGCTACAACATCAGCTGAATACATGCAGTATCTTCTCCATCTAGGGTGAATGAGAAGCAATGCCAGTGCATTTAAGGACAGCTCAATGTCAGCTACACAGGTGTGACAGAAAAAATCAGACTGTCAGATATATAGATACAGAACTAATCCTGCTCGGACTTAAAAGCTACAATCTACAAGTGGAAAAGGCCGCGAATGCCGACGGACTGCACTCAGTGTACAGGCTTCCCTCCATGTTCTCATTGACATCACCATGCCTAAAACTAAATAAATGGAGGCAATAAACTTATATCCTACAGACTGGCCGCAATGCAGCACCAGTCTGGCCACAATACAGCTGTGATCGATTGCAACCTTCATGTAGTATACATAATCAAAAGCAAAACTACCTCCTCATGTCCTCCAAGTATAAAATAGCACCGAAGAAGCTCAAAGTCGCTTCGAGTGGAACCTCACGTCTCCTTTTACTGCAAATCAATGAAGCAGCCATCAGCTCAAACCACCAAAATACAGTTGCATCATTCATCACAGGCTATTCAGGCCCATCAATCTGACCTTGCTTGGGAGTCAGAATACTGACTAACAGCATTCAAATGTATCAAAAAAACTTTATTCCCTAAATGTTGTCCATGTCATCTTTCACTGTCAAGCTTGGGCCATCATCAAAGCCACCTCCAGGTGCAAGCTCGTTTAGATCTAGGAATGTTCTTCCTACACTTTTACTTTCTCTGCTGGGAGCATCCATCTTCTCTACAGGCTGCTGTTGTGGCTGCTCCTGCTCCTCCTCTGGTTCTACTTTATTTTCTGCCACAGTGTGGTCCTCCTCCATTTTATCATTCACATTATTACCATTTTCTTCATCAGGACTATCATCCTCTTCTTCCTCTTGTTCTTGACTCGATGTCGAGAGCTCCATATCATTCTCAGCATCGGAGCCAGCATCAGGATCTGATGCATCAGATTTCCTTGCCTTTCCAGGCTCCGTATCCGAGTCCGAAAAATCATATTGGCGATAGTTAATACGAGGACGAGAAGAACGCTTGCTACGTCTGAGACCTGTTTGGATTTCATCAACAGATCTCAACTTGGTACCTCGCCGGCCACGAGTTTCCAATTTTTTATGCCGTTGCGGTTGCGGCTCCTCTAAATCTTCACTGCTACTCAATGAATATTCCTCTTCATCATCATCTTCAGCATCTTCTTCCAACCGGAACTCTTCATCCTCTTCAGAAGCACTTGATGCCTTATGCTGTTTGCGACTTCTCAGGTATTCCTCATCATACACTGCCTCTCCCATGATATCATCATCACTGTCGAAGTTAGGATCAATATCCGAGACAGCCTCAACAAAGTCTTGTGTGTATCTCTGAGATCTTTTCCTCCGCCGGTTGCTGTGACACAAAACACAAATGCTCATGAGCCGCCCGCTAACATGAGTATGGTAATGATAAAAACCACACGCTTAAGAGTACCTGCGATCAAGTGCCTCATTTTCTTGTTCACCATCGCTGTCTTGGTAGTCATCCGACTTTGAAGAATTCCCATCATATGAGTCGTTGGTTGTTGGTGAGGGACCATTTAACTTCCCATTGCTTGGTGCCTCCGATCTTGGAGGAAGCACCCTTCTATTGGCAGTAGGAGCAACAGGCTCAGCCGAGCTCTCCTCTCTTTTCCTATACAAGAATGGTAAAGGGATGATTACACTATAGTATATTCCTTATGAATAAGAATTATCAAGAAAGGAATCACTTGCATACTTTGTAATTTTGATGGCTTCATTTATTGAGCGATCATAGTCATCTGCATTGTAAACAAATTCAAACCTTGTAATTATAATAGATGATGAAATTAACCAAAAAATCAAAATGTAAAACTGAAGGCATATTCCAATCATCACAAACTGAAGTGTATGCTGACATAATAGATTTCAGATACCACTGGAAAAGGGTTCAGAACCAGGAAGATTTAGGATCATTCCACCATACCTATACAAGGTTTGTATTAACTTTCCAATTAGTTACAGAGTACTGCTACACGTAGCTATAAAGGTTTGTATTTATACTCTTTTTCTTCTTAACGCAATGATCTAATGATTGAAATTCAGGATCATGATCTAATGGTTGAAATCACTTTGTTGGATGTGGTTTAGATACATGTTAGTACTTGAGTCGTATGAAAAGCATTCTCCTTTATTATAAAGATAATTTTGCATTTGACCATAACTAGAATTCAGTTGGATGTTGGGCCAACACAGATTGACTTCTAAATTTGTACTACGCAGAAGACCTAACTTTAAATTGCAGCCTTCTGATTAGAGAAGCGCAACCTTTGTTATACTACTAAGAACTGCAAAGGTTACATTACAATTCAGACATGAATCTGCTGTAAGGACCAAGAACTCATACTACTAACAAGTAACTATGCTTAGGTTGCTGATAAGGGCATTGATATAACAATGGATTACTAATTAAGAAATAGAGGTTGAACGATGATAAGAACTTAGGTGCCATTGTGTTCAAATCAAGGAAGAAAAATATCAGTGCCATCACCAAGATGCTAAATTTAAAAAATGCCATCCATTGTGAGGCTGCAAATAAGGCCTATAGTCACATGCCAGCGAAGCATTTATGATATTTTCCACGTGATGGGCCATGACAATACTGAGCAATTTGGCCCCCTAAAATGCTTAGTTCAGTATTTAAGCTTACCAAATGTATAAGTCACAGGCTTTCTATCACGGAGAGAGCGGCCGGTGGTAAGTCCGTCTGACGTCAAGTAGCTATCAAGAAGGAGAGCTTCTCTCTGTTGCTTTTTGAGCAACCTCTCTTTCTTCTGCATGAATCAGAAACAGTTGATTAGCAAGCTCAAAACGTCATCATCTGCCAAAACAAATCTATCAGGCTGCGTGTTAGAGCTACACACTTTATGGATCTTTTCTATCTCTGGAAGATATTCAATCTTCAATTTCTTTCCAAGTGAGACCTCTGTCCTGTTCCGACTTGAAAAGAGCTTTTCCTACACAGCAAAGGAAATGAAAGTAGCTAATATCAAAAAAAAAAAATTTGATGAATGAAAACAACTGACATCAAAGAAAAGGTAGCATCTGACTAATATTTCATACCAGCATTTTCTACCAAGCACACTATATTCAGTAGCCAACCTATGGTTAGTTGATTGAAACCTATAACTAGAAGTTGATGCATAATTGACACATTATTTAGATTTGGATGGATGGGTTGCAGGACATGATTATAACTTGGCTGGCATGAACATAGTCTTCAAAACAAGTGTGCCGTGTAGACTGTGAAACACTTAATGGCACCATAGGAAATGGTCCAAATAAGTTCTTAAGGTAGCAGTTTTACAAGACAGTCAAGCATTTACCCTGTCCATGTGTCACAACCAGAAAGTTTTCCCTTTTTTATCTTGGATATAAATCATGGTTGGAACATATGTAATTCATCTTGTGTTAAAGAAAATGCTGCATGTTAGTAATATATATATAGATATAGATATTTTTAAAAAATATATATATATATTTTTTTTTTAAAAAAGTGTACTGGTGATATTAACCAAAATGCTAAACTAGCCATTGATAAGATCTAAGCACGCTGGAAAAAAATTCTCTGGTTCAATACAAGAAGTAGAACAAAGAAAACTCCAGCAAAATAAATACTAGCATATTTTAGTCAATTATTGTATTTTCCTCTGAATCGCTTTAGTAGTGTTTGTGCAGACTAACTCTGAAATATGAATTTTGGCTAACACAACAAAGGCCTACCTCCACTATTGTTCCCCTATTTTGGTCATCTCCAAGATTTCCACAGCAATATTGTTTTGAGCAGAAAAACACAATAAAGTGGTACTCCCTCCGTTGCAAATTGTAAGACGTTTTGGCTTTTTCAGATACATTGCTTTTACTATGTATCTAGACATATTGTATATCTAAGTGCATAGCAAAAGCTATTTATGTAGAAAAGTCAAAATGTCTTACAATTTGGAATGGAGGAAGTACAAAGAAACTACAGGAAAAACTACATATCAGGATACCTATGTGTAAACTTTCAATGATAGTAATTTTGGTAATGACAGAATTTTTTTTTCATAATATCATCATATCCAGCATAAATCAATACTTCACTAGCACACAAAAAATCAACACTAACTGCAACCTTTTATTACAAGCTCTTCTGTGGGTAAGAAATACAATGTTAGGGAAAAACAAGTAGCACTAAAAATAATTCACTCTATGGGAGCAGATATGAGGAACTCAAAAGTCAAAACTTACTGCAACATCATCAAACTCATCAAAGGTGGACGCAACAGTTTCCCACTGGTAGGACACAACTGAAATAGCTGAAGATCCTCCTTTTCCCCTGGACCTCTTTCCTGGCTCCTTCTTGACTTGTTCTACTCGTCTAATTTCACGATATAATCTATGGCCGAGAATCTCATCATCTTCATACCTGTTTGCATGGCCTTGCATGAAACCAAAATAATGGAAATTCTTTACATTCAAGATAAATAAAGTAGTACCAGTATGAGATTCCAAGGGAATCCCCTCCGATCCGTTCTTTACGAAAAGTAGAAAGGTCATGTCCATGCTTAAGGGAACTGTCAATGAAGTTCCGAATATCCTCTTGCTGCAAAATCCATTCATGATAAGTTATGTTGCTAAAATCAACTTGCAGCTAATGTCAAATACAAATTTGCAACCAATGTCCATACACATACCAATCAGCTAATGTCAAACGCACTTAATACACATGCTGCAAATTTTATGCTTTATAGAAACGTTTTCTCTAGCAATATCTTCACTTCAAACACAAGTTCATAACACAGGCATAGACAGCAATAGCCAGCAAGTATTGTTGAAATTTCAATAAAGGAAGCATGGAGGAATTTATCTTGGATAGTGAATTTTTCAAATCTGTAGGCTAAACCGTGCCAAAGGGCCTCTAGTCCAACTGGTTAGAGCGTCCTAGCGGCACTCCTCAGGTCCTGGGTTCGACTCCCCGTGGGGGCGAATTTCAGGCCGGGGTTAAAAAAATCCCCTCGTCTGTCCCACGCCAAAGCATAGGTCTAAGGACCGGCCCGTTCTCACAGGGCGACGGTGCCGCTGTGTAAGGGTGGGGCAGGGGTTCGGGGATTTTCTGGGCCTGCGTGAGAAGGTCGTCTTCTTAATGCAATGTCTGGGGGTGGTCATACCCTCGCAGGTCCAGTTTTTTTTTTTAGGCTAAACCGTTAAATAATTCGAAAACATGCAAGCATGTGGATATTGATCATGTTGATATTTAACCATTATATGGAAATAAGGTTTCCGAAAAACTGAATCAACGACACTGGGAGGCTGAGATTCAATTGAAATTGATATAAAAAATTATGATTGTACTACACTACAAGAAATGAGGCAAGTGTATACAGATGGAAAGGCTGAAGTATCCATTTTGTCAAACTTCTTTAGGTTCACAGTTAATTCTTTAGGTTCACAGTTAATGAAAATAAAATTAGCACTTACCTCAACGCGGATATCACATATCGCTTTCAAGATCACTAAACGGATAGCTGGTTCTAGTGTCTTGTACGTTTCAATTTCAACTCTGCAAGATGAAATGATTGGAAAATTTGTCAATGTGAAGTTACAGGTTTACTCAAGAATGTCTGTGTGCGGGACTAACCCATGAGATGCAATTATTGGCAGATCACCTTCTGCAACCTGCAGTTTAGTTCCTTATTAGGTCCAACTGAATGGAATACCGTTACTCGCATCTATCTAAAACTGTTTGCAACATGGGATATATCACATACCCAATGCCACCAATCCTTCAGCTTTCTGCATAGGACGGTCACCCAGGTTCCACGTCCCATAGCCATGCGAGTTACAGGAGGAATTGACTGCAGATATGATCAATAAGCATGAGAATCAAGGACAATGTTTGCATGGCAAAAATGTACTGGATAAAACTGTCTAAGGGGCTATAAGCAGGCAGCTAGTATGTGTGATAAAAAAGGGCGTACCCAGTGCAGAGAGCTCCCGCTCTGTGCGGGGTCTGGGGAAGGGTGTCAGTGGCAAGCCTTACCCTCGCCTGTGCAATGCGAGGAGACCGCGACTCGAACCCGGGACCTTCCGGTCACAGGCGGTAAGACTCTACCGCTTGCACCAGGCCCGCCCTTCGCAGCTAGTATGTGTGATCAGTTACAAAAATGTAACTTTGGGTCATGAACCTATCGAGCAAGTGCAAAAATCACCAAATAAGAATAATGGTGGTGCGCGATGCCATTATTGCATGTGCGCATTAAATTAAAGTAAGCATAAAAATCAATGGCAAGCTTCTATGACTGAAAGCAGCATCCCATTCCAAACTCGGTAGCACAATACACGCAAGCCTAGAAAATGGACAAATTTGGTCATTGCAGAAAAAAAAACAACACATTTTAGTATCTGGTTATGAAGCAAGCCTAGAAAATGGACAATTTTGGTCATTGCAGAAAAAAAAACTTTTTAACACATTTTAGTATCTGGTTATGAAGCAATTATCAGCATGCAGCAAAAAAGTAGACTACAGGAAGAGCATGCACACATACACCTCACCCACACACTGACACACAGGGAGATAAGAGGAAGGGGAAAACAAGCTAAAGCTGAACGAGCCCACCTTTAGCAGCGGCATATGCACATCGTCTAGAATCTCGTTGGGAGTGATAAGCGCCGCCTCGAGTTCCTCCGCCGTGAACTCCGCAGTGATGTTCAGCAGAGGCCGGAACACCTGCGCCCACCAAAAACAGTGCAACGTCGGCATCAAACCTAAACCCTAGCTGCCATGTCCTCACCGCGGCACACAAGCCTAAACCCCCCGGAGCTCCAGGGGGCGGCGACCGTCGAGCGCCGGGGCACGAGAGTGTGAAGGGGGGCAGAGAGCGCGCACGTGGAGGAAGTTGAGGACGGCGCCGAGCTCCCACATGCAGCGGAGCTGCCAGCGGGGCAGCTCCGCGGGCGCCTCGGGCTCCGACACGAGCGGCGTGACCACGCGGCATTGCGGCGTCTCGTCCGCGCCGCCCGCCGCCGCCGCCGCCGCCGCGGCGCGGCGGCGCGGGCGCTCGGGCGGCGGCGGCGGGGGCGCGGGTTTGGGCTTGTTGTTGCACGCGCGCGGGAGGCGCGTCTTCCGCGGGGTCGGCTGCTCCTCCTCCGCCGCCGGCGCCGCCCGCTTCGCCGCCTTTCCCGGCGCCTCCTCTTCCTCCTCCTGCTCCTCCTCAGCCCGCTTCTCCGGGGAAGCAGGAGAGGCGTCGGCGTCGGGCATGGGGCGATCTGATCGGAGATCTGCGTCGGGGCTAGGGTTAGGGTTTGGGTGGGACGGGGAAGCGGGGGGCTGCGGGGAGGCGGAGGTGGAGGCCATGGGAGGGAGGGAGGGAGCGGAGGAGGTGAGAAGGGTAAAAATGGGATTCCGTGTGGTAGAGGTGAGAGGAGAGGGGCAGGATGGGAAAGCCGACCCGGGGCCGGGGGGCGTGGTGGCGTCAAGCCGTCAACGTGAAGCATTGGAGTCCGGCTGGGACTCGTGGCCGGCGTGGTTGGGTACTTGCGTTTCACGAGCGTTTTTTTGATCGACCGATGGATGAACTAGCTTTGCATACAGCAGTTGATTTTTTCAAATTTTGAATTTGGAAGGACTGCTGCGTGTTGTTTAGCACGGATGCAAAGCGGCTTTGTTAACAAATTTGTAGATATAACATTTTAAACGTGTGAGTGCTTGCGATAGTCGAGTTTAAAACTTTGGAACGTCCATATATTGTTTAGTAAGGATGCAAAGCGGATTTTCTAGTGATTCTACAAAGAGACCATTTTAAATGAGATCATAGACAAACACATCTCATACGATGTTTGTACACATGCATACTCCTATGAATGTTTATGATAATCATACACGTCTCATTTTTATTGGACACGTCGCTTACTATATACCGCTAATGAAAGAAATAGCCGCATTAGTGGAATATAGTACATCAAAACATGTCCATGCATACAGTGGCGGAACCAACACCTTTGATTAAGGAGGCTGGACAAACATAATTACACCTTGTAAGTGTGAAAAATATATACATAATTGTATGTCTGAACAAATTTTCCAATGATTTTACATGTGTAGTTAGTATTCATAAAAAATCACAATATTATGGTAAAAGATGAATAAAAATGGACAAAATGTGATTTGCATTGCAATATTTATATGGGTATTTAAAATTTTACTATTCGAGGGGGCATGGCCCTGCTAGCCCCCTGGTTCCGCCGGTGCGTGCATGGTTTAGATATTTAAGAGACATAAGAATTACATGTTCGTTATTACTAAAAACATTACTTATCATTGTACTCTCTTTTCTAATATAATACACATATAGATATTGTAGTTCGTCTTGTACTAAATTTATCAATTACTCTATATATTTACTCAGTGCCATGTGTAACCTAGTATGGTGCAAACATATTTAAGAGGTAGACGAATTTATTTCTTCTCCACTTGGGAAACATATGAAAGAGCAATTGAATTTACTGTTGTTTGAAAATTTTGGTCGATCGATAGCAGCTTGCATATGTGTTCATAACCGAAAATAGGAAGACACTTATGCATAAACCACGTACTCCCTCAGGACAAAAAAATGCATGACATTTTTATTTTTGAAAGCCTTCGAGGTGTAAACTTTAATACGCATGGCTTAAAAAGTGTTTTTTAAGATAAATCTGCCCATAGTATTTTTATTTCAAAACTAGATAATTTGGGAGCTATATGGATGATCAAAGGTGTCATACATTTGTGGCTGAAGGGAGTGTACTTTTGTTTCCATTCGCCCATGAGAACATGAAAGAAACAGCTTATCCATTGAGTGCTAAATTTTTGGCCACTTAATGGCAACCACGGGGTTGGATGCATGTTTTCATAGGAGTGAGTGTGTGTGCGTTGTGAGTGTTCGAGTTGTATTGTGTAATTCTGAAAAAAAGATATGTGGAGATAATTGATGGTTATAATCGTGTTTATAACTAAACATACAGAGGGGGTGCATTTAAAAGGATAAATGACATATATGTTTTTTTTTTATCTCTGTAGGACACGAGTGATATACTATGCTCAATATATAACGTATTTAGTATAAATGATATAACCTTAGACAGCAAATAGCAGAAAGATAACTCCGATCTTTGGGTGGAGACTCCAATTCCATCACAGTTGATCACAAGCCTAATTTCTCAAAACTCTATCAATCTGGTACTCATTCGAGATTTTTATCCAAATAATTCAAAAAATAAAGCAAGCGTAAGTACATGCCGTACTCAACAAATATAACATGGGGTTCATGAGGCTCAAAAGGCTGACACTGGTTTCACTGCGATTAGCTTTTAATGAGTCATCTTTTAGCAATTGGGTGGCAACAAATTTATTCACAAACCCATATAAACACATAATCAGGTAAACATGAATAATGAATAGCATAAACAGTAATCATTAGTGAGCATCTTCATCATCAGTGTCATCAGTGTTCATCATCTATTCCGTAAGGGTTCAAGGCTGCTCGTGACCATGAGCACGGCTGATATACCAATTTTACACTCTGCAGAGGTTGTACACTTTCACTGTAAGTCGTTATTTACCCTTTCGCCCGAGGCGGCCAACCTCTTGACCCACTACCAAGGAAGGTCAGCAAGGTTCACTATGAAGCCTTTCAAAGGCTCGTCTAACAAGTTAGTGCCATTAGATTCACTCGGCAAACAGATATAGGAATCCCCTGTCGAATGGCACAATTCCATCACGGCTATACACATAAGAGTAGATGTTGTCCTATACCCGATTCGGCAAGCCATTCTTAAGTCAATAAAGGTAACTTCTAACAAGCTAGAAAATATCATCACACTGAGCTAAAGCCATAGCCATGTAGCCCTCGCAGTTGTACTGTAAATCCCGAATGTTCGCTTACAGATAAGCTCTTAGGGAGAGGAATCTAGAGCACCATAAAAATAGCCCAGTGCTCTAGTCCCCTTATTCCATGTTGATAAAAAACATCTTTTAGTGTTTATTGCATATACCATTAGTCAAGTTACAAGATCATAGCTTTAATTTGAGCACTAGCATCATACTACCCAATGCAATACCCCATAGGTATCAAGAAACAAGGTACACAGTACTAGAAAATCGTTAGTGGTAATCAAGGTAGACACATGCAGCATGAAGTTAAATGATTAAAGGTGTATAGGACAACAAGGAAGATCACATGCTATACTTGCCTTAAAACTCTAATTCTTCTTCAAATCCAAAACTTCAAAGGAACTCTTGATCAACACGTAAAACTCACCAACTAGACAAGATCATACAGCACCACACAAGCATCCGAACAAACATGCATAGCATTCAAACATAACTATATTAGAACAATACACCAATCAGTGAAAAAGAATTTAAAATCAAATTTATGCGTTACTACGATCATACAGATGTGAAAATCACGCTAATCGGAGCTACGGTGAAAAAGACACATCTACAAATAAATTTGCTTCGAAAAGAAACTATAGATTTGCTTCGAAAAGAAACTATATGCTTTATTTATGTTAGCTATATAAAACATGTATAAGATAATTCAGAGAAATACCTTAATTGAGTTAAGTCAGATTATACTTGATTTAGAAAAACAAGGTAAAACTAATCATATAATTGACCAAGGTAAAAAGCCTAAGTTACTTTTAATTAGAAAAATTCAATTGCACAATCATTATTCAAGTTAGGCGTTAAACTATAAAATTTCAGAGCTCTTAACATAGAAAACATTGATACTAATGCGTAGATTATGTCGTTACGAATCTAACGCAACTTGAACGAGTCAAATCGGAGTTAAAGCGGAGAAGATATGGCCTAATGAAGATAGTGACAATTTTGTAAATAGATGGAACTTGATTTTCGAATTTAAAATAAATAAAATCGAATTTTAAACTAAGGCAAGGACTGCGGATACTATTTTGAAGAAACACAGGTGCTCTTTAACAAAATTACGCAGGGACGGCGGGTTTGATTATTCAAAAACCGAGGTCTCTTTAGCAAATAAGCCAGCTGAATCGGTACATTCTAATCTGGATCGTTGATCGTAGATTTGATGGATAGGAGGGGAATGGCGTGGCCGGCCGGCGACGAGGAGCTCGTCGGCGAAGCTTGAAATTGGCCCTAGAGACCATGAGAGAGCAAACCAGAAACACGGGGAGAAAGAGGACGGCGAGGCGAACTCACCTCGGCCAATCTAGGTGGCGTGGAGTGGACGGCAACGCCGCAGTGCTCGGTGGGGTGACGACGACCCGGCGGCTTGGGTTGCGAGCTCGGGGGAGGCGATTCATCGAGCACGACGGCTTAGGATTATGCGAGGGCGATGCGGGCGGCATGACGCTCCTATTTAAGGCGGCAGGGATGCTTGGGAGGCACGGCAACACGGAGTCATGGCGGCGACGGACGCGGACTCGGCGATGGAGTCCAACGTGGGTACGATTCAAGGTTGAAGATAACGTTGACATGCGGGGCCCACCGGTCAGCGAGACCAAGCGGAGAGAGGACAGCGCATTGCTGAGCCGCGGAGAGAAGGACGGCGTGGACTCGTGGTTGCTAGGCCGGCCCAAGGCGGGAACGCCGGGGGGGGGTTGGGGGAGAAACAGGCCGCGCGGAAGCCAGGCCGAACTAGGCCAAATCCAAGGGAAGGAAAGGAATAAATAAAATTTTTCTTTTTTATTTTCTTAAACACATTTTCAAACCTAATTTTAATTTAAATTCAAATTCTTTTAAAATTTGATCAAAGCCAAGCATCACAAAATATAAATATGCAGCAACATGTATGCACCAACATGTTTCTAAACCTTATAATAAATTTTAATTATATGAAAATTTTTATTTCCTATGTTTTAATGAGCACAAAAATCCAAAAGTAAATCTTTTTAACCCTATTTCAAAAAGAGCAATTTTTAGGGTGTTATAGATTTTAGTTCATGTTTTGATTAGTTAGATTATAAATTTTGTTTATATCAAAAGTGTATTAACGATTTGGTGGTCAAATTTTTTGTTCAAAGGTCCATAATATTATATTTATCATTACTTGTCTTTTATATTTATATGCGAGAAAAATCAACAGATGGGAGGGAAAATGAAACTATTTGTTTTTTATATTTATGGGGAAAATATCAAAAGAAGTTACTCCCTCCGTTCCTAATTATAAATCGCTTTAATTTTTTTTGGTACATCTCTTTTATTATGCATCTAGACAAATATTATGTCTAGATACATAGCAAAATGGATGAATAAAAAAGTCAAAACGACTTATAATTTGAAACGGAGGAAGTAGAACGGAGTGATGTGGGAGGAAAAACAGAACATTATATTTA